ACCCATTGACATGCGTCACTGAGACATGGTTCAGGTGCAGTGTGAATGGATGGGGGCGGCAGGAGCAGCTGGGTGGGCACACGGCGCTGTTCTACCCCGGGGAGAACGTGGTAGGCCATGGATGTGAGCGTGTCCCCCGAGACGTTCCGTGGCTCCACCAGAATAGAAGTGGATCTTCACGCACTGGTGTTCGTGTACGTGGGCCGGCCAGTCCCTTGGGCTCAGCTGTCTTCAGGGTGTGGCTCCCGGGATCCCTGGGGTCGTCTCTGCTGTGGTCAGCCTGAGGCTCCGCGCGTTTCGTGGCTCAGCCTGGATGTAGCATTTGTCACGTCAGCTAGCATGACCGTGAGGTGGCTCTGAGCCCCGTGGGGTGGCGAGCAGCCCCCCAGCACCAGCGCCACAGGCAGGCGGTCTGGGTGCGAAGACTGAGGGGTGGCCCTTCCCTCCCACAGGACGAGCCCTGAAGCACTGGTCAGCACACCTGGGCTCGCGGCTCAGGGGGTTCCCGAAACAGCGGCGACCGGGGGTGGTGCCCCACACACTTCTGCCCCCACGGTACATTGTGTGTTCGCAAGGCACAGACTCTATGAACTCGTTCTCCTGTTGGCTGGAGAGAGGTCAGCGGCTGAGGCCTGAGGCAAGTGACCAGATGGTCAGGCCAGGTCTCCCCAGCAGGTGGCCTCCCTCAGTCCTCTGTAGGGACTCACCTGTGGCCACCAGCCTGCCCACAGCTCTGTTGCCTCCCCACCCCGTGTCCCCCCATGAGCGCCAGTCTGCCCCCTCGGGGGCTTCCTTCCACCCGCCCTGCCCCCATCTAGTCCTTGTGCTCAGAGCCCTGGTGTCAGGGGCATCTCCATGGGCTCAGCAGACCTCTGACCACTGTCTGCACCCACCCGTCTCCTCCTCAGCTCATTCCTAAATGGCGTCCCTCTGCTGAGGTCCCGGGGACTCCGTGTGGCCAAGTCAGGTGTCGCTCTTCTCCCAGCTTTCTCACTTGTTAGGAGCCACCCTGCTCCCCAAAACGCTCTCCACCCTTGGCTCCGGTGACACGGCCCTCAGCTCGGCCACTCTTGTGCTCTCGGCCGATTCCAGCGTTTGGACTGGGACCCCCCCACCAGGGGAGTTCGCCCCACCCTGTGGTTTTATCTCTGTGCTTCTGAGCCCTGAGTTCCAGGCGAGCTGCAGACGCTCTCCACGGTTGCCCCATCCCAGGTGGAGATCTCCCTTAGCTCAGACGAGCCCATGCAAAGCCAGACCTCGGTGCCATACTTCCTACCGATGAGCAAACCCATCAGGACAACCCGTCCTGGCGAGGAGCTCCACCATCTGTCAGGCACCAATGTCAGAAATCTGGGAGACACCCTCGACTCCAGACTCCAACCCTCACCAGTCCTGTTGGGGGAACAGGCTGAAGTCTGTCCCCTCCTGTGCTCCTCATGGTCACTGCCTCTGTCCTGGGCCAGGCCACCTCCTTCCTCTCCTGGCTCTGGCCTGAGCCACACGACGGCCTCACCGCTGCCATCCCTGCTCCCGGCGGACTGTCTCATGTTAGCGCTGGCCGTTCCTGAGCGGTGTCCGTCCCTGCTCCCCCAGTGTCCAGCACACACAGGCTGGACCCTGGGCTTCCTGCCCGGCAGCCCCTCCACCCCCTCTCTGGACCCGGGGCCACCGTCCCTGCCACTCTCCCTGTCTCCCACTGGCCCTCCGTGTGCCTGGCCCTGTGCACAGGCCGTGACCAGCTCCTTGCCGCTCTGTGGGCATCGTGCGTTCCTTGTGCCCAAGCCTCTCATCTGCCCACACTGAGAGAACCAGCAGTTTGGCTTCTGTTTTCTAACATGTTATAGACTGATAACCGTGTAACATTGGATAAAAATGGATTATAGAAAAAATAAAGTCGAAGACCTAATACGAGCCCCGCTTTAGACGATTAGATACAACAGTATTAAAATTGTATTTCAATAGGTAGAAATGAAAACAGTCTTTGATGTTGCACCAAGGTCACCTTGAAAGTCAGATTGCTACGTCTGGTTCCCCATGTCCTGGACTAGAAGCACACGGTCGGAGTGCCGGCGTTGGCCTGTGGGCCCGCGGGACGTGGTGGCAGCAAGCCGCCTGCAGACGGACCGTCCCTGAACCGCTCTCACCCAGGCACCCCACATCGTCTGCGCCTCCCGCCTGCGCTCTGCCACGGCGCCGTGAAGCCATCTAGGGCCTTGCTGACCGGCGGGCGGCGTCTCCGGCTCTCTGACCGCCCTGGGGGAGGGGCTTCCGGGCCTGGGGCTCTGGGTGTAACCTGGGAGTCAAGAGCTGAGTCTCCAGTGAGGCCCAGGTCGTTTCTGACCTCGACCTCCGTTTGCAGGACTCTAACCTGTAGGGTCAGGGTGGGGTCGGAGACTCAGGTGGGGGAGCTGTGGCGTCAGGGTTCCAGAGAGAAGCCAAGCCAGCGGTGTGCGTGCGTACCTGCGATCATGCTCACATGTGGTATGTGGGCTCACGGTGTACGTACACATCGCCATGCATGGTGTATGCGGATACCGTCAGTGCGTATGTGCCTCACGTGTGCGCGTATTCGGTCCCAGCGTGTGTGTGTACCGTGTGTACATAACCCCAGTGTGTATGTTCATACTGCATGCGTGGGGTGGGGGGGGTCCTGGCTGCATCAGGGCCTGGCGGTGCCCAGCTGGGCTGCTCCCAATCCTCACAGGCACCCGAGGAGTTAGGAATCGTTCCCTCATTACGTGGATGGCGAAGCTAAAACCCGAGAACTCAAACGCGCCGCCCAGCACGCTGGAGCTCATCAGCTCAGAGCGGCGATTTGCACGTAAATCTGGGGATGTCCACAGCCCGTGCCCCTTTGCGCCCCACTGCCTCGGTTTCCCTGCTGGATGGCTCCTCAGTCCAGCCCCGTCATTCTGTAGCACATTGTGGGACCCTGTGCCTTGGGGTTAATGCAGTGATGGGGGCGGTCCTTTGTCTTTGAGGCCAGGGCTGGGGAGTGCCACTGAGACCACGGCTCCCTGGGCCTTGGAAACGTTCTGGTAGTTTTGGATCCTCGTGGCTCTAGGACTTGCTCAGAGTGCCTGCTGGGAGAGAGTCCCACAGCCCCATGTGCCCCTGACCACAGAAAGGGCCTCCCCCGGGCGCGGCGCTACTGGGGCTCTGGGCTGTGGAGGGGGGACCTGGGCAGAGGTCACAGCCAGGCTGGCCTCACCGCAGATGTGGACGCTCCCCACCGGGCCTCTCCCTCTGGGGCTCAGGGCATCGTTCAGCCGGGAAGGCGCTTCCCAGAGCCCCACCAGCTCCCTACCTGCCACACCTCTGCCGGCATCCCCAGACTGGCTGGTGCCTCACCCTCTCCCTCCTCCTCACCGGCCACCTCGCTCACCCACCAGGGACGCTTCAAGCATCCTGGAGGTGGTGCCTCTGACCAGAGCCCCAGTGTGTGGAGCTGGCCATGCACTGGGGATGGGACTCCTTGGGCAGCTCTGGGAAGGCGGCGGCTACCCCTCAGCCTTGAAGTCGGGGCTCTGTTCCTGACCCTGCCTGCTTGCACCTGACGCCACATTCATGGGGCACGCTGGGCCTGCGACCTCAGGCCCCAGCTGCGACCTGCACTGCCCGGCAGGCCGCCTCTCCCAGGTCCCTGATCAGCTGGCTACCCCCGCCCCCCCCCTCCAGTCTAGATGGAGCCTGCAGGCTGGGCAGGCAGGGAAGTCGGGCCCTGGGGCATCCTGGGTGGTATTGGAGTCTCCCTGGGCTCCGGCCCCTGCAGGACACACCTGCCCGGTTCCAGCTTCCACTGGGGACCCAGCAGCAGGGCCGCTGCGTGCTGCCGCCACTCTCCACCAGCACATAAGTGGTCCCTGCGCAGGTGTCCCTCTGGCTCCTGGGGCCTGGCTGTCCCTGGCTGCCCACTTCCATGACGTCAGAACAGCCCCCAGACTCTCCCGTTTCATTGGCCGAGGACACTGAGGTTCACCGGTGAGAAGCAGCTTGTTGGGGGTCGCTCGGCTGGCCTGGCGTTGAGCCAGAGCTCAGACGGGGGACATGAGCTCTGCTTCCCCATCTCGGCAAAGAGTTCACAGGATCTTACTGCCTGTTCTCTGCGGGATTGGAAGAGGGTCTGTAGGGGCCTCTCACCCCCACACCTCCGGACGGCTCTGTGCGCGGGGGCCTATCTGCTAGCGGGCCCCAGGGCCTCCTGCACACGTGGCCTGCGCGTGGGGGCTTCCGCAGGTGTGGACGTGAAGCGGGCTATGTGTTGTCTCCCGGGGACGTTGAAGCAGATTGGCCGTTCTGAGTCCTGAGGAGAAACTGAAAACGTTTTCCTTCCCCTAAAATCGAAGAATAGAAGAGTCAGAAAAACCATAAATCGTGGAGGGTAGAATAGGCTTCCATCGTACAGGGAAGAACATCAGACTGGGAGAGGCTACGTGACCTGTGGGAGGTCACACATGCACGGGGGCCAAACCGAGCCCCGGATCTAGGCTCCTTCCGCGCGATGCCTGCTCCCCCATCAGCAGCCCATCCGGGGTCCACACGCAGCCGGCAGGATTGGGTCGAGCCCCCGCAAGGCACATGGGGATCAGGATGGGGACACCCAGGGGTGTGGACAGCCCCAGATGGCTGCCCTAGCACACAAACAGGCTGGGGCCGGCAGGCCCCGTAGTAAGGGCTTCATCCATGAACACCCTAATGTTACCGACCTTGTGGTCGGGCAGAGAACGGCGCGCACCATTAACACAGTTGCTTAACGCTGTTCGTGAAACGGGCATGCTCTCTACCGCGTGAGACCAACCTCTGCTTCACCAGGTGGTCAACAGTGCTGGGCGGCGGCCGCGGGGGCTTGGCATGTTTAGCGGGTTCCTGGGTGACCCCGCGGAAACAGGTCGCGGGTCTGGTGGTGCACGTGCAGATGCCCCTTCCCGCCGGACCTGTGTCCTGATGGGCCCGACGGCTGGCACGCAGTGCTGACGGAGCTCTTCTCCCCGCCGCCTCAGTGTGCCCGCTGCCTCCAACCGTGAGTCACGGCGATTTCGTCTGCCACCCGTGGCCTTGCGAGCGCTACAACCATGGGACCGTGGTGGAGTTTTACTGCGACCCCGGCTACAGCCTCACCAGTGATTACAAGTACATCACCTGCCAGTACGGGGAGTGGTTTCCCTCCTACCAAGTCTACTGCATCAAGTCAGGTGAGCGCTCATGGCCCGGGCCATGCCACACACAGTGGCCGCCGGCCGTGTCCCCCCCACCACGCGAGGGTCAGGGACGCGGCGCAGAGACTCATCTTTGTGAGTCCCCATCCCTGGGGCAGGAGGGGCCGCTCTGTCTGCCCCCATCCTTTCCCTCCCACAGGCAGGGACCTCCGCCCACGCGTGTGGCCCAAACCGAGCCGTTCTCTTGTGTGTGAGGACACGTGTCAGAACCCAGAGGGTGTCATTATGCAGAACACCTGCCCTCACGTGTAGGAAGGCCCAGTCCACTTGGAAATGTTGGTGCCTCTCAGTTCATAACAAGTGACTAGCAGACCAGCCTTACCGCTGACCTAAGGAGCCCGGGTGGTGAGCACGGGGCACAGACCAGGGCACCAGCACCCAGCCACCCACCGTTTCCCACTCACCCCGGCCTTTCCTGCCAGAGCACTGACGATCACTGAACACGTAGCCCCTGACCCCCATATGTGGGGGGAGCACCTGGTGACCCGGGGGCAGCACCTGGTGACACGGGGCCTCTGGAGGCCGATGAATGGCAACGGGAGCCAGAGCAGGATGCCTGTGGAGGCGGCAGCAGCAAGGGAGGACAGCGGGGGGCAGACAGGGTGGCCTGGGCCCCAGGGATAAGAACTGCTCCAGAAGGCTCACTGTCGGCTGCCCCTCCTGCAGGTGTGCTGACAGCCAGAGGTAGTGGGGAGGCTCGCCCCTCTACTCCTCTGTCCCTCTCTCTGCTCAGCCCACAAGCCCAGGACCCCCTCCCCCCCCCCTGCCGCCCCCTGGCCCAGGTGCACTGCAAACACAGCTTTCCCGGGGAGACGGACCCCTATTCGGGCCTCCAGCAGGAGTGCTCCCAGCTGGGCACCGGGCTCTCAGCCCGGTGGGGAGTGGCCCCTGTGGGTGCCTTGCAGGGGCCATGCTGCAGGCAGAGTGCAGGGGGTGGGGTCCAGATGCGGGGAGCCCCCAGATGCACGTGATAAGCGTGCTGTTTCCCAGATCACCCACAAACGGACACAGGGCCGTCCCAGTCTGAAAGCCTCATGCACCACTCTGCTCTCTTCCCGGCAGAGCAAACGTGGCCCAGTAGCCACGAGACCCTCCTGACCACGTGGAAGATCGTGGCGTTCACGGCAACCAGCGTGTTGCTGGTTCTGGTGCTCGTCATCCTGGCCAGGATGTTCCAGACCAAGTTCAAGGCCCACTTTCCCCCCAGGTGAGTGCCGGGGTCCAGCACCTATGAAGGTGGGTGGTGAGAGCAGAGGGTCAAGGGTCAGGCTCCTGTGGGGCGCGGTGGGGTGTCTGCGGTCAGAGCGCGGGCTGGACAGGGCTCCCCGCCCTCTCCTCCACCTCCACGTGAGCCCCGAGTGCTGTGGGGCATGGAGAAGGGGCGTGCAGAGTCAGGGTTGCTGCCACGCAGGACCCCCAGGACCCCTTTCCCATCACGCGCACGTGGCCCACGGCCCACAGGGAGGGTAAGAAATTCACGGAATTAGATGCGGCAAAGGTGTGTGATGCAACAGAGGTTCAAGAACGGCATGCCTGGAAATCTCCAGAAGGAGACAGGGTTCTGGAGAAGGCGTGGGGTAGGGGACAGGACCCGCTCGCCCTCCCCTGCCCGTGCGCAGAGAGGCTCAGGCCGATGCCTCCGTCCTCCCCTCCGTCATCACGGAAGAGGAGCTTGTCCGGAAGCAGGCCAGCTCCTCAGCAACAACAGAGCCATCACCGCGGCTGCTGGCCGGCCACGTTCCCAGGAGGAGGTGTTGCTGGGAGAGCTGGGCGACGAGGGTGCGGCCATCCGAGGCGGAGGACAGGGCGCTGGCCAGCCTCCCCAACACCAGCCGCCTTCAGCCACCTTGCTTCACGGAGTCTTGAGCGTTCTCGGGCCCCTGTGCTGGCCTCCCCTCAGGGGTCTTATGCTTCCAGAAAAGGCATTTGTCTGCCCATGGGGACAGCGCCACCCCCAGAGCTGTGCGTGCCCCCTCACAAAGGGGGTGCTGATGGTGGAGGAGGAGGCTTCTGGAAAATCCTGAGTCCCTCACAGTCCCGGCCGGGTGAGGAGGGAGGGACGGCACCTGCCCGTCTACCGGCCCAGCCTGCGAAGTGCCACAGCCAAGCCTCTGCCGAGATGGCGGAAGCTTCTGTCCTGCGGTCTCTGTCCTCAACAGCACAGCTTAGTAATCAGGGCCTGTGTTCCATAGTGAGCAATTACAGTGTCTGAAGAAGGCCCAGGGGTCACACAGGGGGGCTCGCCCACACGTCGTGGTTTATGGCACATGGGGGTGCTTGGAAAAGCTGCTCAGCTGTCCAGATAGAAGACCGCGTTGTTTGGGGCAAGCCCAGGATAGACTCTTCCTCGGGCTGCATGGGTGTGGACGCTGGAGAACTACTTGATGAGCACACATGGGGGCTGAGCGCTGTGGGGGGTGCCGTGGACAGGGCGAGGCCCAGGAGGAAGGGGGCTGGCTTGTCCAGGGCACCCGAACGAAAGCGAGCAGCCTCTTGAAGGTTCGCGGCGAGCTCGCCCTTCATGCCCGCCCTGCCTCCCGGGGAGTGGGCCTTGCTCCTCGCTCTCTCGAATGTGCCCCAAACATCTGCAGACTCGGGCTGGGTGCTGCCCTCCCCCAACACCGCGTCCCGACATGGCATTTCCTTGGGCTTTGGAGCCCTGCCGCCACCATGAGGGTCTGCCCGCTGGCTGGGCTGTCTTCTCTCCGCTCGCGGCCACTGGGGCCCCGTGGGGGCCAGGAGCAGAGAGGTGGTCAGACAGGGCCTACGGGGTGACGGGGCATGCAGGGGCGAGGCCAGCAGCCGGCGCCGCGTCGGGGACCCCCGCACACAGACCACGGCCCCTCCCGGTGGCCCCCGTGGCTCAGGTTCAGGCGGCTGCTGGGCTGGGGGGTGGAGCGGGGGCCACATAACGGGTCAGGTGGTGAGAGACGGCTTGGAGCTTTCCTTTCTTCCTGTTTTCTACCTTGACTAAAACTCCGTGAACAAAGTGGCGTAAGCAGCAGGAGGGTCCCCCTTCCCTGGTGGCACGTGGGGTCCTGGGTTCAGGTCGGTCTGCGTTGTCTTCCATTCCCAGCAGGCTCCGCGAGGGGCCCTGCAGGGGCCCGGTGGACAGAGGCCAGAGACGGGGAGGAGGAAGCCCGAGGGGGGCGCGGGGGCCCAAGACAGAGGAGGACACTGCGGGTGGAGTGCCATGGGCCACAGGAAGCCCAGGAAGGAGGCTGGTCCTCCCGCAGGAGCTCCACGCAGGCTCCTCAGCCATCAGGGACACAGGGTCACTGGTGGCCTCGGTCCACAGGGACCTGCTGTCTGATCTGTGGGCGCTGCTTTCCTTTGCACAGGGGGCCTCCGCGGAGCTCCTGCAGTGACCCGGACTTTGTGGTGGTGGACGGCGTGCCTGTCATGCTTCCATCCTACGACGAGGCTGTGAGCGGAGGCGTGAGGGCATCAGGCCCCGGGTACCTGGCCTCTGTGGGCCAGGGCTGTCCCTTGCCCGTGGACGACCAGAGCCCCCCAGCATACCCCGGCTCAGGGGACACGGACACAGGCCCGGGGGACTCAGAACCCTGTGATGGCAGCTCAGGCTCTTCTGAGCTGCTCCAGAGTCTGTATTCGCCCTCCATGTGCCCGGGGGGCACACGCCCCGACAGCGCTGACACGGGGGCCGGCATGGCGGGAGAGGCGGCATCCACCAGCCCGGGCATCGACATCGCAGACGGTGAGTGTTTGCCCCACGCCTGGCCTCTTCTGCAGCCTGAACCACCGCTTGTCGCTCTCCCTGAGTGTGAGGCCTCGAACGAGGCCGTCAGGTCCCCCTCGATGAGCCCGTAGCTGAGACTTCAGGAGGCACACGCCGGCTGCAGAGGCCTGTGCTTGGTTTTGTAACATCCATGGGAACCAGGATGGTTCCTTCCCCGTCCCTGCTTTAGACGGGGCTCAGAGACAGGGTCACCGTGCACATGATCAGGCAACGGGTGCACACGGTATAGGGCGGCCCTGGAGAAGCCATGTGCACGCAGGGCGCTCCTAGCAGGCATGAAGTAACAGGCATGCATGCCTGGCGATCGCAGCTCACGGTAGAGAGACCAGGGTGTCTCCCCGGGGAGGCTCACAGTGCCCCGTGCACACAGGAGCGCCAGTCCCAGTGGTGGCCACAGCTGCCCAGAGCCCAGTCTCCTTCCCACGTGCCCGCTTGCCTCCCTGTCCCTGAATCCCATCTTTCGTCTGGCTTGACTCCTAAAGGCACGGGGTTAAAGTCTTAACGTTTTATTTTTCATGAGCTGGTGGAAGGTTCTTCAGCAAAGAGGGCATACGGAGGAGTGGTTTCTGTGATTATTAACGGATATGTGGAACTTAACAGTTTCTTCTGACACCGGGAATTACAGACATTTTAATAGAGCTTTTAACCGCTGGGCCTTGCGGCAAACTAGTAACTGTCTCCCCTTTCACAGAGATCCCGCTAATGGAAGAAGATCCGTGACCAGCAAAGCCACGAAGATTATCCTGCCCCTGCGGGGACGGGAACCGTGCACCTCAGAGGGAAGCCCCAGAGGGACCGGGCGTGGGGGCGTGGGGGGTTTCTAGCTTACCTACATGGGGACCATGACTCGCATCATCCATCCCGGGCTCGACGCTGTGGCGGGCACTCGTGGGGAGCAGGGACGAGGGGGCCTGGGCGGTCCCGATGAAGGGGTCCGGTGCGTCGCTGCTGCAGAGCAGGGCAGCTCCACACACGTCCCGCTGAGCCCCCCACCCCACGGCTTGTGCTGCGGGCACTGCCTGCCACCTCTGCAAGCATGTCCCCCACCGATTTGCCCCGCGTTGGCTCCACGCGATGCGGCCGCCGCATGTCCTTGATCCGGACATGGTACTCGATTTGAGAGAGAGGAAAGGAAGGACACAGACAGACTCTGCTTCCTGGAAGTTCGTCCACAAGTGCAGTTGATGAGCTCTGAGCCATCCTTTGGACAAACACCGTGGTTTTCTGTCTCACGGGCTGGTGCGCAGATCGTGCTCTGGGTAAGTCTCGTGTCTCATGACTTTGCGGATGGTCGGATGTGCTCAGACATGTCTCCTGGCGGACAGTTACAAGGTAACGTTCTGTTTGGCGTTTTAAGGTGTCCCTTGACCATGTGTCTCAAGAGTTGCGAGTCCCCTCTCATCACCCGTTACGATGTTGCCCCCGCTCCCAGAATGCAGCCATATGTTTATTTTCCAAAACAGAAATTGTTTCTGTCAACGTGCTCTTCCTCTGAATAAACTATGAGGCTGGACTTTTTTCTTTCTGTTTCATCTGCCGAGCGCACAGGCCGGCCTGCTGGCCAGACGGCTCTCCGGCTCTCCCCTCTGGCCGCTCCTGCCGCGAGGGCATCCCCGGGCCCACCAAGTGCTCTTCCTAAGAAAATGATTGACAAAAACGTTCCCCAAGTCCTAAAATGTCTCCTCAGATACATGCTGATCTGTGGATTTGATTTCTTTCCTCCTCTGGGCTTTAGGCAAATATAAACAAAACTCTGATCCATAAAATTGCTACATTGATGGAGCGCGGGAGCTGAGAGCTTGGTCAAATCCTGTTTTTTAATTTTAAAAATTAAAAACAACATGGCAGTTTGAAGCGTGGCTTTAATAGTGGAGTTGGGTGGGCAGAGGAGGGGCGGTGACCCCTGTGACCGGGGGCTGACGGCGGTGTCTGCGAGGTGCCCACCGAGCTGGCCCGGGCCCGAGAGCAAGGGGCGCGTGAGGAGCAGTGTTTAGTCACGAGAACTTTGGCACAACTTTGCCTCACAAGCCACACACAAGGAGCTGGTTTTCACGAGTGTTTGTGCTTAAATGCCACCCAGTCCATCAGGAGGCAGAGGGCATAGGCGGCAGGGGGGTCTGGGGTCTGCCGTAGGCTGCCGCCTCTAGGCAGTTGCCCCAGGACCAGGCCTGCGCCGGCCTCCCTCCCGGCCCCTGAGTGCACGGCAGGTCTTCCTGGAAGTGGGCAGGTGGGAAGTGGGCGTTCCTGGCCCCACCTCCTTCCTAGAAGTGTTCTCCTCCCAAACTAAGGAGCCGCCCCTCCCCCGTGAGCTGAGCCCAGGGATGCCGGGCCCAGGGATGCCGCCCCAGCCGTGCACCTGGAGACAGAAGCGCAGGTGCCACACATGTCCAGGCATCTGCGGCAACAGTGTTGGAAACGTAGCAACCAGTTAGAAGATGCCTGCTCCTCAGCCTCAGAGTAACGCAATCACCTGGACCACCTCTGTCCCTTTAGCTTCTGGCCCCAGTCCCTCCCACAAGCGCTGCTGCCGTGACCTTTCATCCTGGGGAGGTGGTGTGGCAGGAGAGAATGCTCGTGACCTCCCCAGCACGTCCTGGTCCTGGTCCTGGCTTCATGTGAAAGTTCTGGAAGGCCCTCTGACTCAGATGCAAGCCCGCATCCCCTCCATGCCGGCTCCGTGCTTCTGCCCTGGGGGAGGAAGGCGCTTGCGGCCGAGCCCGAGCCCAGACCCCAGGCTGCCCCCAAGGAGTCCGCCCAAGGAGTCCAGGAACTGGAGGGGAGTTCTCTGGTTCAAGCCCAGCAGACGTCACAGGACAAACTCACACCTCACTGCTGTGAGGCTTGTGTTAACTGCAGTTTGATTTGCTGGCGCGGGGTCCTCAGAACCTTCCCCACCCCCCGCATCCATCCCAGCGGCTGCACGAGACCCCCTCCTACTCCCTGGCCACACTGCAGGGCCCAGGACAGCAGGGAGTCAGGTGCAGAGGCATGCAGGCCCCGGCCTGCCGGGTAAGGATGCCCCTCTGCACCCTGGTGTCCCTGCGGGGGCAACACACCATCACGTGCCCACCCCACCCCCCTGCCGGCTTCCAGTCCTGCCTCTGCCACTAATGGGCTGTGTGTCTGGACGAGGGGTTGCCTTCTGGGGCCTCCGTCTCCTGATGCGGAAGTGAGAGATGGCTCCCCTCGGCCTTCCTCACTGGCTTGTGGTGAGGACAGCTAACGCCGGGCACGCACCCCACGCCCAGCAGGCGTTGGCGGACGGCGGCCGTTCTCCCCTGGTTGCCGAGCATGGGTGAAGCTGTCATGCGGGTCATTTCCAGGCACTTTTCACCTACCTGGGTCGCCACGGCCCTCAAGCATGCCTGCAGGTGCACCATGCTGGAGGCAGCCCCCAGCAAATGGGCAGAAAGGTGGGACGCCCCTTCCCCTGGACCCGCCCCCAGGAGCTCCTACCTGGCTTCCGTATGCTGAGCTTTCCATGCAGGGGGAAGTGTCTGATCCTCTGAATGCTCCGGAAGCTTCTGCTCAGGGAAGGCAGGACAACCTCGGGAATCTCCCCAAGGACTCTGAAGAACCCAGATCACCTCCACAGGCAGCCCTGTAAATTAACACTAACCTGCTTCCCTAGTTTTATAATCTCTCTTGGATTGAAGGCATAAAAGCTAACGCCCATCCATTTCCAAGGTGATAGAGGGCCAGACCCACAGTAAAGATGCCTCTGGTCTACTAGCAGGCAGAGCAGGGCCCGGGAGAGAGCAGTCGCTTGTCAGGGAGGGTGGGTCCTGAGCACAATGGTCTTAAAATCATAAAGCTTAATGCAGAGTGTGTGGTGCCCATGTGGCCATGGCAGGCAGCCTGCTGTCCCCATGCTGGGCTAGGACTCAGTTCCTGGGTACCTGTGATGCACAATTCTGAGTGGCCAGAGGTGTGGCCCTGCCACCTGCCCTGCTTCGAGGTGCATCAGCGTATCCAGAGCCCACGGGAATGCTGGTCCCTGGTCCTCCGAGGCCGTGGGACACAGAAACCCCAACACCGGGGGTACAGGATGGAGTCTGAGGGAATGGCTGTGTGCCAGGCCCTGTCTCAGCTCTCTGGGCCAGTGGAGGCGGGCTGGTAAATGGGCAGGTGCAGACCGGAAGCTGGGACGCACGGGACACCCACCCAGGTGCTCAGGGAGGCTGCCATGCGGGGGGCGCCCGGGGGGTCCCCAGGGGTGGAGGAGCAGGTGTGTGGCAGAGGGGCAGGAGAGATGAGCTGAGCTAGGGGCCCAGACGCCAGGAGGAGAAGAGCAGGTGAGGGGAGGGAGGACGGGCAGCAGAGGTGGGACTGGAAGGAAAGCCGGGCTGGCGGGGAGAGGGGTGCCCCTGGAGAAGGACAGTGGTTCCCTGGGGACTCGAACCCACCAAAGGCTTGAAGCAGAGAAGCACACCCAGGTCTGAGCTGTCTGCGAGGCCCCTCAGCTTGTGGAACCAGGCCCAGGAGTCAGTTTCCGGCTGCCCCTGGGCCCCTGCTTCTGTCCCCACCAGTGCCTCCTCCCTGGGAAATGCGGGCTCAGTCAGGGGGCTGTCTACACCAAGAAACTCTGCAGCCACCTCCGTCGGGGAGGGTGGAGATGAGCAGTCTGCAGGAGCAGACTGTGGAACACCAGCCCCCGAAATTTGTTAACTTCCGATCTTACGGTGATTTTGATCAACCACCGCTTGGGTATCTGAGGGCTGGAAGCCACCTGCTTCGTCATTGAGCCAGACGCCTGTGTGACCCAGCATGGAGTTCCCACGTCCACAGGCCATGCGCCTGCCCTCTCCACGCTGGTCAAGCTCTCCCTCCCACAGTTCCTGGGGACCCCTGACGCGGGCGGAGCGATGTCGGCCTCGGGCTCGTAGGGCCTGGCTCCTGGGGGCCTGGCTGGTGCTGGGCTGCACATGTCCTGGCTGGGCTCTCCGCCCGGTCCCTTACGGAAACCACACCAGGCAAAGACTGCGGCGTTCAGCCTCACGTCCTTCACCAAGGTGAAGCTGTGAACGGCCCCGGCCTCCGTTTCTTGTCTGGGTTCAACACCATGACGACACGGGCCGCAGAGCAGTGCCCGGCGCTGAGTAAACACCCACAGCTGCATCTGTCTTCTCTGTACTCCAAGGCAGCAGTGTCCCTGCCGCTCTCTCTTCCTGCCTTTACTAGACCCAGGAATCTCTGCGGCTGGGTGAGGCCCTCCCGCAGCCCCTGCCCTGCTGGGGTGTCGAGTCCGGGCCTTGGCCGTTCCCCTGGGGCATCCGCAGCCCCTGCTCCTGCCCCACCTGGGAGCCTCTGTGGCAGTTACCACGGTGAGAGCTGTCGGCACTCCAGACAAGGCTTCCTGGGGAACCTCGGGCCATGCGACCAGCCCCTCTCGATCCTGAACTTACTGAAATCTGGCGTCCTCATGAGAACAGGATTTTGTAAAAGCCTCATTGAGGGCTCGGCAGTTGACCCTCAAATCAAGGGTGCCTCTAGCCCGCTGGCTTCCAGCCGGGGAGGTCTTGCACCCTCGGGGGATATTTGGCTGGTGACAGTGCAGGGGTGGGGCATTACCGGCATCCAGTGGCGGAGGCTGGGATGCTGTCAACACCCTGCATGCACAGGACAGCTCCCAACAAGGATTCACCCCAAATGCCAACACTGCCAAGGTGAGAAACCGTGGTTTAGGAGACACTCATGCCCTCAACTGACACAGGTGAGGT